GATAGCTGAGCAAGTTACAGAGGTAATGAACTCACAATTTACAAAGGTAATGAACTCACAATTTACAAAGGTAATGAACTCCAGGTAGGTCTAGTCACAATCATGACAAGTTACAAAGGTATTTACAGATTACAGAGGTATACAATGTGTCCAGGGACCGGGCTCCAAAGTTTTGATGGCTGAACTAGGTACAAGGTAATGAACTCACAAGTTACAAAGGTAATGAACTCACAAGTTACAAAGGTAATGAATACTGTAAGAATGGTTACTTACGTTTATACATGGCTGCAATCATGAACAAATTTTAGAGTAATGAGCAATTCACACTTCCACACCCGGTCACAACTGTAGTGAGTTATTGGTGCAAATGTTGATTGCTGAATCTCTCTCTCTCTCTCACACACACACACACACACATACAAATTCATACACACACACACATAAACACACACACACACACACACACACACCCGCACTTGATAAAGCACGTCAAGAAACTAGAGAAAGTACAAAGGTTTGCCACAAGGTTAGTTCCAGAGCTAAGGGGAATGTCCTATGAAGAAAGATTAAGGGAAATCGGCCTGACGACACTGGAGGACAGGAGGGTCAGGGAGACATGATAACGACATATAAAATACTGCGTGAATAGACAAGGTGGACAAAGACAGGATGTTCCAGGGAGGGGACACAGAACAAGAGGCCACAATTGGAAGTTGAAGACACAAATGAGTCAGAGAGATAGTAGAAGTATTTCTTCAGTCATAGAGTTGTAAGGCAGTGGAATAGCCTAGAAAATGACGTAGTGGAGGCAGGAACCATACACAGTTTTAAGACGAGGTTTGATAAAGCTCATGGAGCGGGGGAGAAAGAGGGCCTAGTAGCAACCGGTGAAGAGGCGGGGCCAGGAGCTAGGACTCGACCCCTGCAACCACAAATAGGTGAGCACACACACACACACACACACACACACACACACACACACACACACACACACACACACACACACACACACACACACACACACACACACACACACACACAACACACACACGCACACACACTCATACACACACACACACACACTCATACACACACACACACTCATACTCACACACACACATATCTCACACACACACACACACACACACACACACACACAACACACACACACACACACACACACCACACACACACACCACACACACACACACACACACACACACACACACACACACACACACAACACTCACACACTCAACACACAAACACACACACACACACACACACACACACACACACACACACACACACACACACACACACACACACACACACAACACACACACACACACACACACACATGCACATAGTGGTAATGCTTTATTTACAGCTAGCAAAGTCAGGGTATTTCTCCAGAATGGTCTGTAATATACCACTGTGGATAAAATACTTAGCCATTTCTTGAACACTTCTGAGTGAGTTGTTTCTAAATTCATTAATTTTATCGCACTCCAGTACATAATGACGCAAGGTGTGACAATAATCCATCTGGTAAAGTTTACATTTCGTTTGGTCTACATCTGGTGGTGGTGATTTAACCTGCCAAAGATACTTGTAACCCAGCCGGAGCCGGGCGGTAGTAACATCCAAGAGTCTGCTTATTTTGTTGGATGCACCATAGACATGTGGCTCCTCCTGCATGAAAGAATGATGATAGATGGACTCACTGGTGTCAATCTCCCTGAGCCTTAAGTCCATAAAATTCAGCTGAAGTTGTTTTCATATTATTGTTCTCAAACTACTACCTGACAAGCCAAGATTGTAATCTACTCCCTCTTTGAAAGCATACAGCTTAGCCAATTTATCAGTTCTATCATGCATCTGAAGACCAATGTGAGATGGAATCCACAGCATGTGCACTCTGACTCCACTGTCCACAATCTTACCATACCTGTGTCTGGCTTCTGACACAAGCATGCCACAATTTATGCTTAATTAATGAGTTGAGAGTATTTATGGATGACAGAGAATCAGTTACAATTAAACTGTCAATCTTTGATACATAGATGCATTTCAGTGCAAGGAGTATGGCAAACAGTTCTGTCTGAAGGGTAGAGGCCCAATTATTGATGCGTGCTCCAATTTCTTTAAGAGAGCCATCACTCTGTACGACAACAGCAGCACTACCAGCTGCACCAGTGGATTGGTGAACAGAACCATCAACGTAAATAATTTGCGAGAGTGTGTGCTGTGTGACTAAGTTATCAATACAGCTTAAGGCCTCATGTTTGGCTTCAAGGCGAAGTTTTGGTTGTGTACAAAGCTATTTTGTAACTCCTGTTAAGCGCTGCACGAGAGTAGATATATGATGGTGGAGTCCCTTGGCCAATCCACTCAGCCAATATCAGATCATTTGGAAGTCGACGAGGGTTTGCAACTTGATCTAACAACAGGAATTTAGGATCCAAGTACTTATTGACATTGTGGATAACAATAAGCACTTTAGGTGATCTTGGTGGGGCAGCTTGGAGTTGGATGTTAGCATATTTATGAGTAAGAAGTTTTTCTATAAATGTTGGGTCATTAGTAACAAAGACGTAATTATCCTCGTCATGACGAAAGCGAATCCGAAGGTTTTCCTCTGGGTTGTCTAGTGTAGCTTCGTAAAACCATCTAAACTTGACCTCAAACTCAGTGTTGGCAGGGAAATCAAGCCTAACCGTTCTGCGATGGTTGTTGCTCTCGTTGTTTCTTGCAGCAAGCCTCCTTTGAAATCCTCTTCCTTTTTTCAAAGCTCCCTTCTAAAACGTACGAATTCGCCTTCACCATCATTTACTTCGTTCACATCAATAGGTCACTTCTAGTTCAGCTGCTTGAGGTGGAAGAGTTAGTCTGTTACTTTTGGGTCAGTGAAACCGCCTTTATTGCATAAGAGAGAAGGAACAAGGAAGGGATATTCACCTCGCTAGACACAGGCAATATGGGTGTAGTGGCCTGCGGGTCGCAGTGCGATTTTCAAGGCCATTCAGTGGGCCCACAGTCGTCTCGAGAGTTACCAACACTGTACTACTTGAACATTAAAATGGTATAAAATACCGACAGGTTGTTAGGTAAGACACATATGCAACAGTTAGGTATCTTTATTATGAAACGTTTCGCCTACACAGTAGGCTTCTTCAGTCAAGTACAGAAAAGTTGATAGAAGCAGAAGATACTTGAAGACGATGTAATCAGTCCATCACCCTTAAAGTTTTGAGGTGGTCAGTCCCTCAGTCTGGAGAAGAGCATTGTTCCATAGTATGAAACAATATGGAGATGAAGTGACAGAATGGAGCTTTTTATAGCGCCAAGAGGTGAGACGTAGGCCACTAGGAGAGGTAAGAACTCAGATGTTGAAAGGTCAGGTCCTTCCCATATCCAGCCGCTCTCACTAGTGGAAGTTGTCGAAGTTGATTGCAGGTCTGTACCAAGATACCCTTGTGTTGCAGTGTCTGACAGATTGAACATTAAAATGGTATAAAATACCGACAGGTTGTTAGGTAAGACACATATGCAACAGTTAGGTATCTTTATTATGAAACGTTTCGCCTAACAGTAGGCTTCTTCAGTCAAGTACAGAAAAGTTGATAGAAGCAGAAGATACTTGAAGACGATGTAATCAGTCCATCACCCTTAAAGTTTTGAGGTGGTCAGTCCCTCAGTCTGGAGAAGAGCATTGTTCCATAGTATGAAACAATATGGAGATGAAGTGACAGAATGGAGCTTTTTTATAGCGCCAAGAGGTGAGACGTAGGCCACTAGGAGAGGTAAGAACTCAGATGTTGATAGGTCAGGTCCTTCTCATATCCAGCCGCTCTCACTAGTGGAAGTTGTCGAAGTTGATTGCAGGTCACTTCATCTCCATATTGTTTCATACTATGGAACAATGCTCTTCTCCAGACTGAGGGACTGACCACCTCAAAACTTTAAGGGTGATGGACTGATTACATCGTCTTCAAGTATCTTCTGCTTCTATCAACTTTTCTGTACTTGACTGAAGAAGCCTACTGTGTAGGCGAAACGTTTCATAATAAAGATACCTAACTGTTGCATATGTGCCTTACCTAACAAACTGTACTACTTGTTAATTACTCCAAACCCGCAGCACTTAACACATCTAGCACACGTGTCTTGGAATGACAGACAAATTTTCACTACCTAAAAGTGTCAGGACTATACCCAACTACTAATCAAGGGAAACAAAATTCAGCAGCGTCACTCTCGAGAGTACTTCAATTCGCAACGACTGGACACAGAACAGGCACAGGTTACAGCAAAAGGTGACGCAAACGCCTGTTTACCTGGAGAGAGTTCCGGGGGTCAACGCCCCCGCTGCCCGGTCTGTGACCAGGCCTGTCGCAAGGACTTCTGCCTAAAACGCACTTTTAAAATTGTTGGAATAGTTGGGCTAAATAAGTCAGGTAGTTTATTTGTATTGAGGTGGAGGTGCCGGGTAGTACAACGTTTGAAAGAGATTTACATAACAAATAAAAAAGGCACAAGACCGTGACTGGAACGACACATCATTGTAAGGATACATCTGGTGGTTAACCTGCCCAAGATAATTATAATCCAGCTGTAGCCGGGAGGTGCCCTCAAGGAAGGTTCCTTGATGTTGGTGAGGGGCTCTTGATTTAGGGAATTGGATCTGTGCTCCAGTTCCCCGAATTAAGCCTGAGTGCCTTCCACATCACCCCCCCCCCCCAGGCGCTGTATAATCCTCCGGGTTTAGTGCTCCCCTTGATTATAATAATAATAATCCTGACTTTTATGGTGTTATCCTAAGTAATTTACATGTGTGTTACTATGTATGATAATTGTACTTATGCATACCTGTACCTAAATATTGGATCTCAGTGGAAATAAGTTACTTTGACCTTTTGGTTATCCTAGGTAATTTACACTATGTATGATAATTGTCCTTGTGTGTATTGGTACATAAATTACTTATTCTTCAACAGCCATAAGTATGGCAGTGGAAGGAGGTCAAGCACAGAGAAGGGCAACGTGGTGGTGGTGCAGCAAGCATGCAAGTCCTATGGCTCTGGATCCAAGAAAGTGGCTGTCTTGGAGAGTCTAGACATGCGGGTTGCCCAAGGAACTATGTGAGTGTGGTAATAAGTCACTCTGACTTTTATGGGTTATCCTATGTAATATACACATATGTTAACTGTGTATGATAATTGTACTTATGTATACCTGTGCTTAAATAAACTTACTTAGCCTTGTGATGAATAGCAAGTAGCCTACAAACTGCAGTATGTTAAATGTTAAATTAATGCACATAGCAGAGTGGAACTTTTGCATTACAAAATACATCACCCTTGTTTGTGATAATTAATGCAGTGCCTTATTTGTGGTAATTAATGCAGTGCCTTATTTGTGGTAATTAATGCAGTGCCTTATTTGTGGTAATTAATGCAGTGCCTTATTTGTGGTAATTAGCATAGTGCTTTATTTGTAGTATTCATAGCTTGTTGCCCTGTTAATTGTAATTTTAGTAGCTGTCTTGTAGAAAACATGTATATGTATGTATAGAAGTAATATGTGACTTTATAATATCCCAATGAATATAACCAGAGGCTGCTAGGACCCTGCTAACACTGCTTCCTCTTTCAGTTATGGACTGCTGGGCCCCAGCGGGTGTGGCAAGACCACACTGTTAGGATGCTTGGTGAACCGCCTTAAACTAGACAAGGGAGAGATCTTCATCTATGGGTATCCCCCTGGCTCTCCTGCAGCTGCAGTCCCTGGCCACCGTGTTGGATACATGCCTCAGGTAGGTCTGCACTTGTGTCACATGTAGGCCTGTATGGGGGTACAGGATCCAGATAATTCTGTAACTAAATACCCACTAAAAAGTCAGTTCAAGAAACGAACCATGGGTGGAGCTCACTAGCCATAGTTCTAGAGACCACACTAACCATAGTGCAAGAGACCTAATCAGCCAGTGCTAGAATCTTGACTAGCCTTGTGTAGGATGGTACTAACTCGTCTCCCTTCCCCACAGGAGCTAGCACTGTACCAGGAGTTCACCATTGTAGAGACGTTGAGGTACTTTGGTATGATCCATCAGATGGGCTCAAAGAGGATTTCGGAGAGAACCAAGTTTCTGGTGACCTTCCTTGACCTCCCAGACCCCACCAGGCTTGTCAGTCAGCTCAGGTCAGAGACTTGCATTGCAATGTCTGTATTCACCTATATATAGTTGCAGGGGTCAATTCACAGCTCCTGGCCCTCTGTATTGTCTTCCTGTTGTGTATCAATGCTAGTAAAGCCACTATTAATCCATTCTTTTCACTCCTGCTGCACAGGCCCATTCTCTCATGTCTAGGCCAAAATTTGCTGCTCACAGCAAATTTGAGGATGCTATGAATTATGCCTACCAGTACATGCTGTATGGATGTTGATTGCTATGATGTACTAGTAGCTATGTGACAGACAGCTTAAGGGTTAAAGGTGAAAAAAAATCTGCACTGTATTTTCCATTAATGCTATTGTGGTAATTTCTTAATTTTATTAGTAATCATTGAACCTTATATAATAACCTTCACTGTCTATTATCAGTGTTAACTATAGCTTAAATGTAAACAACTCTTGAATGCTCGCTGAAAACTGGTTAATTGTACTAGAATTTAATCCAGCTTGATAAATTCAGGAACATGAGAAATGTAAGAAAAAAGTAGCATTGCAGTAGGCCTAGTGGGCAATGCTAGACAGGTTCATCTCTCACATATCTGTACTGACAAAGTGTCACCCCCACAGTGGAGGACAGCAGAGGAGAGTGAGCTTTGCTGCTGCCTTACTACATGAGCCAGACCTTCTAATTCTTGATGAACCCACTGTCGGTGTTGACCCCCTCTTGAGGAGCAAGTGAGTTTTTGTCTCTAATATGATTACTTGCCTCCCTTATTATCTCTTACATCATTCTGTCAGTGTCCTTTTGCAGTGTCTGTGAATGATACATCAGTCACTGCATTCCTGTACCTTTTGTTAATAACACAATGCAAATACTACTTCCACTTCCCTTGCTATTAATAAAACATCCCATCCACTTTTATATCTGCATAAAAATAACCTAAATCTACCTACTCTATCTTTCTTACCAGTGATTTTTTTTTCAGTATCTGGGAGCATCTCCTAAACATATGTCAGCATGGTAATACAACCATCATCATTACAACTCACTACATTGAGGAGGCCAGACAGGCAGACAGAGTGAGTGTTGACCATTGTCAGGCTCTCTTTGTTTGTGAGTGTATAGTATAGTAGAAAGTAACTGCTAGTATTTCTTCATTCCCTACTACTACTACTGGCACTGCTGCTGCTGTCACAACCACCATCATTATTATTATTACCACTGTAGTCACCACTTCTACAACCACAAACATGATGCTACCTTCACTGATGAAGCTATCATCCTTAGGCACTATTGGTTCTACTAGTGATACCTACACTACTACCGTCATCACTTTCAAGATCACTCTCACTACTGTCATCGTCATTACGACTCGCCCTAATCATTCCCCTTCCTCCCCATAAGTATCACCACTACCATCTAATCATGCCCTGCCACTACCACAGGTGGGGCTGATGCGAGCAGGTAGATTGCTGGCGGAGACATCTCCTTCCAGCCTTCTCCATCACTTTGGCATTCCATCTCTTGAGGATATCTTTCTTAAGCTCTGCCTCCAAGATGGTGATGAAGATAATCTCCATCTTGGCAAGGTAAGATGGCAGTTGCTTAGGTTATTGCTACAACTATTAGGTCTTGCTAGGTCAAACTAAAGTTAATGTTGGAAAAATAAGTTGTCTCATTTTTGATCTATGGTGAATTAGTTATCAGGTTTTCACTCATTCGCAGTTTGAGGTACTATTGTGCATTACCATCAAGCTAATTTACTGGACAGTACTTGGCCCACTTAAATTTTAAGTGGGTTTGAAGTACCTAGTTTTTTTTAACACCTGCCGTATCCCACTGAGGTAGGGTGATGTATCAAGAAAAATGAAAGTTTTTTCTCTTTAAATTTAATAATAAGTACCTAATTACCAATCAGTAGCTGTACACCTGAGACAGCAACTCATGTCAAGTTTTCTTCCAGCATAACAAGGGATTTGTGGAAGAGGATGTACTGACACACAAAGTCACCTCAGCGTCACTGCCAGCAGCCCGAGGCACGACTTCTGCCCTGAAGAGAGAGATAAACCCGAGCACCGGTCTGTTCACCTTCAGAGATTCTGAGGATACTGCCATCTTAATGGTAGGTTTCAAGAATTTCTTTTCTTTGCAGTGATGATAAAAAAGAGTGTCTTGTGCAGCCATTGAATTATCTATTAATGCTTCTGTTAATTCAAATTCAAATTCAAATTCAAAGTTTATTCTCTATAAGGATTACAATGCTGAGTTTACAGAAATTTGGTTATTGTGTGGTTTACATGTAGTAAAATTGTGATTACAGAGTGTACCACTAGAACGCTTAGCATGGCTAGGCATTTCGGGCATACTTAATTTTATTCTTAATTGTAAAATATTACAAATTATGAGGTAAGTTGGTATTATGGCTAAGTGACTAAATACTAGTTTGTGAGTTTAGCAATGTGAATGCTTTTGTTTTGGCACAGTACATAATTTCAGTATTGGAGTATCACAGGTTTTCATTATTTAAGACTGAGATTAATATTCTGTTTAGGGTCAAATGAGTGAGTGAGTGTAAGTGTGAACCCCAGGTGGTATTCGTGTAGTTAGTTGACGGGGTGTATCGGGGAGATAAGATGTTTTTCTAATGGTATTTTTGGGAGGTGATGAGGTGTCTGCGTTCTAGAGTTCTCAGGTAGGGTATTCCGATTTTAGGGCCTTTGACATACATTGATTTTTGTAAAGGTTTAGTTGGACACGGGGAATGTCGTAGAGAGTTTGTGTCTGGTGTTATGCCTGTGAGTTCTGTCACAACTATCAAAAGCGTTTTAGGTCAAGGTTGATATTAGAGTTTAAGGCCGTAGATGTAGATTGCACAGTATAAGTGTGGAGTTACTGAACTGGGAGTAAGTTTAGGTCTATGAAGGAGTGGGGGTGTGTGTTGCCAGGGATGGGATTTAGTGATTATTCTACTGCAGCTTTTTGTTGGGTTATTATTGGCTTTAGGTGTGTTGCTGCAGTTGATCCCCAAGCACAAATAGCATAGGTGAGGTATGGATAAATAAGTGAGTGGTATAGTTGAGAAGGGCAATTTTTTCGGCACGTAGTAAACGTATCTTGGAGAGGATTCCAACCGTTTTGGATACTTTTTTGGTTATATGCAGGATAGGTGCTGAAATTCAGGTTGTTGTCAAGGTATAAGCCTAGGAATTTTCCCCCAATATTTCTGGTAATTAGAGTGTTGTCAATCTTAAAAGTTAATTTGTGCACTCCTGCTCTGCTACCAAACATAATATAGTAGGTTTTGTTGTGTTAAGCGTAAGTTTATTGGCTGTCATCCCAATCGTTATTTTAATCAGCTCCTCATTCACAATGGTGTTGAGGGTGGCAAGATTAGGGTGAGAGATGACATAAGTCGTGTCATCAGCAAGAGAATGGGTTCAGGGGTTGGGATACGTTTTTGGAAGGTCATTGTGTATATGAGGAAGAGCAGGGGCCAAGGACACTTCCCTGCGGAAACCCCGTATCAAAATCCGTGTTGCTGATCCCTGTGTCTTTAATGGTGACGACTGATACCTATTAGTAATGTAAGATTTGAAATAAGCAGGGGGCCCTTTAACCCGTAGTGATCAAGTTTGTGGAGTAGGATGTCGTGGTTATGTGTAAAAAGCTTTTCTTTGGTCAAAAAAATTCCTAGGGGTACCCTTTTTTTCCAAGTGGAAAGTAGATCTAGCATTTTTATGATTGACATTGTGCTTTTATTTTTCCGAATCCAAACTGGCGGGGGTTGAGTATGTTTTGACCGTTTAATGAATACGTCCCCTGTGCACGATTTCTCAAAGTTTTGGTAGCAAGGTAAGTTAATATTGGCCATATTGTTTAAGTCTGTAGGGCACCACCTTTATGTAGGGTGTAACCTTGCATCTTGAGTAGTTTCGGGAAGGTGTAGTCCTTTTGTGATTGTTAAAAAGTAATAAAATAGCATGAAAAAAGGACAGGGGCCGCCGCTTGTACAGTAAGGTGGGACATGAGACGAATCCCGAGTTATTTTTAAGGGACTTTAAAATCTCAATGCCCCCCCTGGGCTCATTGGTGCAAGATAGAAGGAATTGGGGGAAATTCCATTAGGTAGTCCCCGGAATGGGCATTGGTATGTGGGTTTTTACGGCGAGATTAGATCCTTGTTGAGAAAAAAGTGTTTATCTTGTTGCTGTGGCGTGGGATGTAGGGGTGTTTCTTTAGGTTTAGTTAGGACAATTTTCTTGGTTTTTTCTTTTTGGGGGTCCAGAATTAGAGAGTTTTTCCCTCTTTTTTTATATCCCTCTAGGTCTGTGAATCTTGGAGTAGTATAGTTGTTTGGGTTTGTTTATTTCTTTGGTGAGAGCTGAGAATGGTTTTAAAAGGATCTTTGTTTTAACCCCGTCATATTTCTTTTCATATTTGGGGTTTTTTGTCAATGGATTTCAGAATGGTGCGGGTTACCAGGGCAACCCAAGCCGTTTTTTTGTGATCTGTTTTGTTTTTATAGGGCAATGTTTGTTGATAGTCTAAGTAAATTTTTTAAGGAAAAAATTTTTGTCCAGTCACAATACCCTTGGCCGGGGGGGGGAATTCTGTAGGCCAATCAACGTCTCTAGGTCAGCTGTGAACTTCCCTTTCTGAGGCCTCGTCAGGAGTTTAAAAAGACTTTGTTTATTAAATTTGGTTTTTTTTTCAAGTTTGTCAGGAGGAGAGGTAGTGGTCTGTAGTGCTATCTGTGATTATCCCTGATTTTGGGGGCACATTGCTTCCATCAGGGAAGCGTTGCCTATTAATCATTTAGTGCAACCAAGAAAATTGATGCATTTTTTGCAGGATTGATGAAGATGGGGCACCCCCCACCAAACTTGCCTGGGTATGCAGCTATAACTAAGGTCAACCATTTGTGTGTGTATGTCAGAAAAACTTTCCACATTCCTCCTTTCTTGCAGAGTCGATTTTAAAAGAGTTCTGGGTCAAGTATATCAGGGATTTTTCCAAAAAACATTTTTAATTCTCTATGCCCCCCGAACCAGCTTCGACGTGCTTTTCCAGATCGCATCAAAGTGAAACCCCCCCATCATTCTTGGGGATTTTAAAAGCCAGAAAAAGAATATTGGTGGGTCTTAACAAACACCCCAAAAAGGAAAAAACTATGGATGCAAATGAGCAGTATTTCCCAAATTTTTGGGCACTACAGGGTACTCACAAATGGGGATACTAGATTTTTGGGCTTGGATTTAATACTATTTTACGATGCTGACTCTGTCATGTTGTGTTTCATCTGACACTTCCCAAGACTAACAACTGTCAATCTTGTCACATCTCCAGCAATCAAGGAGCTAAATACAGAAGGAGGAAACTTATTCTCAACCAGAACACAGAGAAAAACTTTATTAAAACCACTTGGATCAATGGTATAAGAATTACGGGCCCCATTGGCACACAAAAATTTAATGATGATTAATTACCACTATTGAGAGTGTTCTCACAGATCAAGTGGGCAGGAATAGGAAACAAAAACCCTCCACTATAAATAAAAAATAAAAACCAAATGTAAAATACTATAATGATCCACAGCTGCGCAATCTAACACATGCAGCTAGGGGATTGGTAAAGATTACCGTGAATGTAGAACCCCAGACCGCTCAGAACGTTCCAAGCTGCACTAACAAATGCAAGGAATAGAAAGGAAGAACTTAGGCAACAGGAATGGGAACAGTTTGTTAGGGGTTTTAAATAGGTCCACCCCTTTGAGTTTGGCTTGGAAAGGTATAAATAAAATAACAGGAAAAGACTGGCAATGTTGCTCATCCCTTTCCTCTTGAAAAACCCAAAGGGACCTCATAAATGACTGGTCCAAAACATCCAGGCATGAAAGCCTTCCATTCATATTAGAAAAATTTAGGGGAGTACTTCTAAAGAAATTTGGTTGAAACTGATTTAATTTTATGAGCCAAATATTGATGAGAGTGATTGCCTCTTTACCGAGTATGAATTAAAATAATGCTTTAACCAAAGGTCGATCAACTGCTCCTGGAAGGGATGGTATAAAACCTATGTATTCTCAGAACTCTAAGGCACGTGCCTGAAAAACCCTTTGTTGGCACTGTATAAATCTCAGTTACATTGAGGGCGTTCTTCCTACTTCCTGGACCAATAGTCTCATTGTGCCTATCCCTAAGCCCCAACAGCCTGATACATTTAGGCCGATCCCCTTAACTAGTTGTCTTTGTAAAACTTTTGAAAGAATGATGCTTAACAGACTGTACTACAGAATCAGAGATCAACTTTCCCCCTACCTCTATGGGTTCATGAAAGGTAAAAGTGTGCAGAACTGTATTTCCCCTTTCTCCACTGCACACACCTCTACTAGTTTTACCACTTTTCTTGATCTAAAATCTGCATTTGATATTCCGAACAGAACCGTTATACTACATGAACTAGCCAAAATGATATTGGTGGTGGCTTACTCTGCTGGATAATAGGATACCTGTCAATAGATTTATCCTCTGCCCTTTTACCAAGGCTTCAAAAGTGATTCTAAAGAAATGTCTTTAGGTACACCGCAGGGAGGAGTTCTTAGTCCCATGCTATTAATATTCTGTTAATGCTCTCCTAAATGCTCTACCTGCCCTCCCCTTTAAACATATAGCTATAAGCTATGCTGATGATATCATGACCCATACAACAGGGCATAAGAAGATAAATACCTTTCTTAATGAAGTTCAAGAAATTTTGTAATCGACTAGGCCTCATAATATCTTCCTCTAAAACTAAGATATTAACAAGCAAACGAGTCCCCCCCCCATCTATTTGCAGGGTGAAATCATTAGCTACGTTAAAACTTACAGATATCTTGGTGTAGATGTACCCTTTAACAAATCCACTTACCACAACTAAACAAGAAATGTAAAGCTAGGCTAAATGCTCTCAAAGTGTTGCTGGCTTACAATCCCAACTATGGTGCAAATGTGAGAATCGTGAGAATGATGTACCCTAGCCTATGTTTGGTCCTTAATTGATTATGCTGCTCCCATGTTGATATTAGCTAGAGAAAGTTCTCTCCGACCCTTGGAGTTAATGCAAATGAAGCTCTCAGGATTATTCTTGGCTGTCCCAGAAACTACAAAAGTTCTTAACATGAGGAAGGAGCTTGGTATTTCTAGTATCAGTGATAGGATTGTTGAAATTAACACTGTACTCGGTATTAGAATGTTGAGAAACGAACCAGACACTGTCACAGTGAATCTTACCAAGTGTCTAGAGGTAAATACACAAGATCTAAATGGATTGTGAAAACGTGCAATTGCATTAAGTTTTATAACCTGCATGAACTGTATCACTGTAGGCAAAAGGCATTTCACCCCTCCCTGGAAGATGTGTTCATTTAATTCACATACCTACAAGTCCTCCCAAGAAGCTCATTGCTAGTAATCCCTTCCTTAAATCTCTTGTTAGAGCAACTGCTCAAGAAAAAATTTCTCACTAGCTGGTAGTAACAAGTTATCACAAGTTATATACACTGATGGATCTAAACAGGAGTCTTCTGGCGGGCTGGCATCTGCTCTTGTTGCCACCTCCCTAGTTAAGAACGATAATAAATTTGTTGAGTTAGGCATAAGAATTAACAACTGGGGTCTACACTGCAAACTGAATTGTTTGCAATCCTAATGGCGCTAAAAACTAACCTATTGGACACTGGCTTGACTCTTCATCATTACTGATTCTATGTCATCATTGAAGGCTCTTGGCTCATATAATGACTCCAACAACATGCTCATTGGGGAAGCCCGGTATAGATACTCAAAAATAGGGACAAAGGAATTTATGTACAAATGCTAGGATCCCACACACATTGGTTACTCCTTCATGATAAAGTTTATATGTTAGCCAAGAAGAGTATCGAGAAGGAGGGAAAGTAGAATATAACTTTGGTATAACTGTGTCTAGCATTAGGAAAAATATTAGGAGAGAAGTAAATAATGAAAATGATTGTTATAGGAATGCAGTTAGAAGCCTGAGTAGATCTAAAACCCACTATGATAACATGAACGTAGATAAGTATGTTTATGGAGCAGCTTGCAAAGTGAACAGACTGATGATTTTTGTAGTGGCCAGGCTTAGGCTTGGTTACAAGTACTTCTGGGAGTTGGGAGACACACAGAATGATCAAACTAAATGTAAATTATGTGATCAGGCATATGGTCACTCTCTTGAACACTATGTGCTTAATTGTCCACTTATTGAGGAAAACAGAGACAAACGTATAATAACCTATGTGACATGTCAAGTATCTTATTAATGAAAATAAGATACCAGATATACTAAAACAAATTTCCTAAATTTGCTTGTAACAGATAAATGAACTATAGATATGTAGATATAAATCCATATGTATTCCTGTTAACCCTTTGGGGCCTAGTTCCTGGGCCTTTTGTGTAAACCATATGCTCTCCGCGCTACCGTCCACAGGATGGATATGGGGTGCACAATAAACTACCCACTTGGGTGGCAAATTTTAAAAATCTTAATCTAGTATATTGGTCCATTTTGGGGTTCTATTAGGGGTTGCATTTGCTCAGTGACCCTTTGGTTTTTTTAGTTATTTTTTGGTTTATGGAAGTGTGTTTTTCCCAATTGTTGATGAAATCAGTTACAGGCTGATAAACCGTAAGCCAAGGCTTTGAGGGTTTGAAGTCTCCAGCAAGAAAGGGGGGGGTGCTTATTCATTGCCCTTTTTGTTATTAGGGGCCCTTTAATTTTCACTGAAATTTGGGATGTTTTGTGTGGGGAAAATCCGGTAAATGGCACCGATTTTTAAATAGGCTTTCTTAAGGTTTTTTACAGTAAAAAATAGCAAAAATGTATTCCCCTTTTATTCATCACAAAAGCAAGTGGTGCTAAAACAAAAAATTGGAATGAGAAATTTGTTTGCAATACCCCCCCAAAATTTGGGTTTGGTCTGCAGTTGTGAATTGCTGGAAATCCTGGTTGAGGGTAATATCTATTGTGTCCTGCAAAAAGCCAGGTCTCAGTAAGAAAAATTTGCAGGAGAAGGGTGTTTTTAGTGTTTCCCAAGGGAAATGCTAGGAGGCACATAGGTTTTTTCTTTTAAAGGGCCTGAAGTTGTTTGTTTAAATACTGATAGACTTTTAGCATTGTTTAGGATAGTGGTGGCTTGTGTTTTCTTTTTTGTAATAAAGGCAAATTATTTCCAATTTGGTTTTTATTGGGGGCAGATTATGGAGGTTTGATCGGGGTCAATGTGATCAATCATCTTCTAGGTTTAAATTATGGTTATTTATATCCTGAGTTGTGTGTTGAGTTCTAGTACTGATATCTGTAGTGGTAGGAAGTTTGGACAAGTATATAGCTAGAGTATTTTGGTCATGTAGGGTATAGTCACTACTACACATAATGAAGTTGATGTTGTCTATGTGTTGTGCTGGAATGAACTAAAGTACAACTAGGTATAAACTAGTAATATAAAAATACAAATTAAAAATAGAACAAGACTCTCACTTGTAATTGCACTAAGGTCTAATAATGATAGTGATCTTTGGTGATTGGGGCAGAGCAACACAGACAAACAGATATTAGGGCACAAAATGCATAACTGGCCTTCATTCTAGATATTTTTATATCTTATTCACCTGAACCTCAATAGAAATGATATAAATAAAAGGTCTAAAATTGTGGAACTGATATAAATAAAAGGTCTAAAATTGTGGAACAACTTTCCAAATAAATTAAAAAATTGAAACTTAATAAAGTAAAACAAAATTGAAAAAAAAATTGTGCCAAATGTATTTCCCTTCAAGATGTATATGTACATGCTATACAGAAACAAAAATCCCTACTATAACCCTTATTAAAGATATACTTGCTACACAGAGACAAAAATCAGTCTGAGTTTGATGACATGTGAAATAGGTGTGTGCCAAGGTATCAATATTGGCTAACTTTGCTGTTGGTATGGGTATTGGTCTAAAATTGTGTATCAGTACCAGTGAGTATCAGGTAAGTTTGATGGTATTGGTGGGTATCAGCTATTTTTTATTGTATTGGTATTGACCTCAAATTTAGTATCAGTATGAGCATTAACAGAAAATTGGTATTGATCCATCACTAATGTAAAAGACACTATTTGAATTATGCTCATATATTTTTGTTTTTGTTTTCCACATGTATTTGTGTGTGCTTGCATGAGTACACCACAAGCTTATACTTGGGTACACACAGGTCCCCTGGGTGCAGACATCGAAGTATGAGCAGATGTTTTCCAGTGATCGCTTCTCTGCCCTCCTCATGAAGAACTTCATCCGTCTTTGGAGGAATATTGGGTGAGAGTCTGATATCTATCTTTTTTTTCTCTCTCCCTCTCTCTCTCTCTTTTTTTTTTCTCTCTCTCTCTCACAGGGTTTTACAAGGTTAGGTTAGGGTTCTTAGCTTTATTTACTAGCTAAGAGCTGTTATCTTCATCAACTCATTTTAAAGCCTTTTTATTGTATATGAAACATATAAATATGGAATAGGATGTAGTTGGAGCCATCTGTGGGCCAGCAATTTCATTTGGTCAACTGACCAAATGTCATTATGCTGTATGAACATGTTCCAGACTAGAATCATCTAAGGAATAAATAATCGCAGATGAAGTGATGTTCTTGAAAAGGGTACAGAGTATAACTATTGTTTGCTGCCCATCATGTTGTGCAGAAGCTCTACAGAGTGGAGCCAAGTGTTTTTTTTTTCTTCTCTCAGTGCTGGGTTATCTAAAACTTGGACATAAATGATATAAAATACTGACACGATGGAAAAATAGAAACAAATGCAGTATATTGCGAGCCTTTGACTACATTTTGCCCACATAGTGGGCTTTATCAAGTCACAAACAGATCTGTTTGTGACTTGATAAAGTCCACTGTGTGGGTGAAACATAGTCAATACAAGATTGCATTTTACTGCATTTGTGTTTCCACTTGCTCCTGTCTAACATGCTCATGCAAATTTTCATCGTTCAACACTTTCACCATCATTCATACCTAATCACTGTCTTTGCAGAGGTGTTCAGATATGGTAGTTTAGATGTCTCCCTAAACATCAAATATCCCAAACCCCTCCTTTAAATTGCAGGCATTGTGATTCCCACCTCCAGGACTCAAGTAGAGGTAACCAGTCTCCCTGAATCCCTTCACAAAATACACACATTACCCTACTCACACTCCAACAGCTAATCAGGTCCCAAAAAGCATTCGTCTCCATTCACCCCTATATAACACGCTCATGCAAACTTGCTGGAAGTTCAAGTCCCTCACCCACAAAACCTCCTTTACCCCCTCCCTCCAACCTTTCCTATGACGACCCCTGCCTCGCCTTCCTTCCACTAAAGATTTATATGCTCTCTAAATCATTCTACTTTGTTCCATTTTCTCTAAATCACCAAACCACCTCAGCAACTTCTCTTCAGCCCTCTGACTAATGCTTTTAGTAATTCCACACCTCCTAATTTCCACATTACGAATTCTCTGCATAATATTTACACCACACATTGCCCTTAGACATGACATCTCCACTGCCTCTGGTCTCCTCTTTGCTGCAGCATTTACAACCCATGCTTCACACCCATATAAGTGTTGGTACCACTATACTCTCGTACATTCTCTTCTTTGCCTCCATGGATAACGTTTTTTTGTCTCCACAGATACCTCAAAATATCGCTCGCCTTTCTTCCTTGAAAATGAAAATGAAAATGTTTATTACCTTGCAAAGTTTACAATGTGGTTTCTTTCTTTCAACACACTGGCCGTATCCCGCTGAGGCAGGGTGACTCAAAAAGAAAAACAAAAGTTTTTCTTTTTAAATTTAGTAATTTATACAAGAGAATGGGTTACTAGCCCCTTGCCCCCGGTATTTAGTCACCTCTTACAACACGCATGGCTTACGGAGGAAGAATTCTGTTCCACTTCCCCATGTAGATAAGAGGAAATAAACAAGAACAAGAACTAGAAAGAAAATAGCAGAAAACCCAGAGGGATGTGTATATATATGCTTGTATATGTATGTGTAGTGTGACCTAAGTGTAAGTAGAAGTAGCAACATGTACCTGAAATCTTGCATGTTCATAGATGGAAAAAAGGACACCAGCAATCCTACCATCATGTAAAACAATTACAGGCTTTCGTTTTACTCTCACTTGGCAGGACGGTAGTACCTCCCTGGGCGGTTGCTGTCTACCAACCTACTACCTTAAATGTGTAGTTTACATATTATAAAATATTAATTACAAAGGAAGCCACTAGCATGCCTAGGCATTTCAGGCAGACTAATCCTAATTCTTACTGACTACTCTGTATTGACACAGGTTATGGAGCAGTACATTTTAATATACATTAATGGATATTGATATAAAAGTTAGGTAATTAAAGAAATTATTATTAATAAGATCGATAATAGTAAGGTAGTACAAAATATATAACAATATTACAGTTAGTAAATTTAGCAATGGGAATGATTTTATCTCGACATGATACATTGTTTCTGTAAAAGCTCCTATATTGGCAAAGTATTTCAGGCAAACTTAGGACTAACTTAGGATTAATTAGGCAATAACTATATTAAGAATTTTATGTTTATAGTCATTTGGGTGAGTGTAAGTGTAAAATAGGGAGAATTACAGGTAATGAGAGTAATTCTATTTTGTTTTGGATGTGTTCACGATACAAAAAAGAGAATAGGTGGTTTTCACATTGCTAGCTGATGATGGGTGTGTTAGGGAGATAAGATGTTTTTTAAAAGTAGTTTTGAAAATGGTGGTTGAGTCTGTCTTCATTAATTCTATGGTTTACCTCATCCTTCATAAACCCACGTGCTGACAGTCAGCTACCAAATATCTGAACACATTCATTTCTTCATACTCTCTCCCTCCAATGTGATATTCAGTTTTTCTTTATCTAAATCGTTTGATACCCTCATCACCTTACTCTTATCTACTTTCATTTTTTACTTTCTACCTTTACTTTATTATTATTATTATTATTATTATTATTATTGTTATTGTTATTATTATTATTATTCTTTCTTTCAACACACCGGCCATATCCCACCTAGGCGGGGTGACCCAAAAGGAAAAATAAAAGCTTCTCCTTTTACATTTAGTAATTTATACAGGAGAAGGGGTTACTAGCCCCTTGCTCCTGGCATTTTAGTCGCCTCTTACAACATGCATGGCTTACGGAGGAAGAATTCTGTTCCACTTCCCCATGGAGAGAACAGGAAATAAACAAGAACAAGAACTAGTAAGAAAATAGAAGAAAACCCAGAGGGGTGTGTTCATATATATATGCTTGCACATGTATGTGTAGTATGACCTAAGTGTAAGAAGAAGTAGCAAGATGTACCTGAAATCTTGCATGTTTACAAGACAGAAAAATGGACACCAGCAATCCTACCATCACGTAACACAATTACAGGCTTTCGTTTTATACTCACTTGGCAGGACGGTAGTACCTCCCTGGGTGGTTGCTGTCTACCAACCTACTACCTAGGATTATTATTATTATTATTATTATTATTATTATTATTATTATTACATGTATTATTATTATGATTATTATTATTATTAATAGAACTGTTCACAATTTTTTAAGCTTTTATCATAGGGGAAATAGGAAATACTATACTGCCATTTTCTAGGATGCAACCCTGACAATTAACACCTAGACTTATCCTTATATTAATGGTAAATGATACCAACAAGTATATGAATAACATACTTGTGTAACAGTTGGGTATCTTTATTGTCGAAATGCTTCACCTGCTTAGCAGCTTCTTCAGTCAGATATGAAGGTGACTTAAATATTGGAGACAGCAGAAGCAGTAGATAAGTAAGTATGTATAGGGTGATCAGTCCCTCAGCTTTGAAGAGGTACTCTTTAGTTGGTTAGTTCCTCAACTTCTTTGATTAAGTGTATGGAGTTGAACATTTATCAAGGCTGAGAGACTGACTACCTCAACATTGCTTCTTTGAGGGTGAGGTCTTGAACACCTCATACTTGTCTCTCTACTCCTGCTATTTCTGTCTTAACTGAAGGCAAAATGTTCTGATAATAATGACACCCATCTACTGCACATGTATCTTACTCATCTAGACTCATTTACTTGTATGTGAACAGGGAATGTATGCATAAGATTTGCCCATAATGCTTGCTATGCACACGAGTTGAAATATATTTATTGTTCATTGGTAAAACTAAATCTAAGATAGGACAGTACTAATATCAGTAGCTACTTTTCCTTTACCTTGCTAAATGGTCATGCATTTCCTCAGGTTCTTGCTGTTCTCCTTTCTGATGCCACCACTGCAGACAATACTGTTCTGCCTGACAGTGGGAGGGACACCCTACAATCTACCTATGGCTGTTGTTAACTATGATGTTGGTTATCATTTCTTATCTTGGTCTTTCAACTTCTCTTCCATCTACATTAATGAACTCAACAGTAAAACTATTGACAAGGTTTGTACTGATATCTCTCGGTAAGTGTTTATATGCATAGTAATAACACTATGTGCAGATCGATCATTTATTTGGGTCTTTGTCAGATCCCATCAGGCAGTTACTTACAAACCCATCCCCTCCTTCCCCCCATGTCCAACTTAACCTGTGCAAAAACTCAACGTACATAAAAGGCCCTAAGATCTGGAATTCATTGCCTGAAGCATCGAAAGACCTTCTGTCTGCTGATCGATTTAGAGCTATTGCTAAAAAGCACCTTGTCTCACTAATGTAACTAAACCAGCAATATGCTATGTCAAACAAGACCGGTTCATCCAGCTCTGTCCCTGTTCTTCCAGTCTACCTCCAACTTCCATAGAAAGATAACTATTCATCTTGTCCCATTATATTTCTACTGTAGATAAGTAACTTCCTGTATCTTCATCTCTATTCACTCACTCCACAAAACTGAAAACATTGAATCAGTTTTGAAATAATAAACCAATCATTTAAAATTGTACCACTCATTCATAAGCTACTATGTACTATGTAATCACACATTGTAACCTTTGCAAAGAAATAAATTTTGTCTTTGTAATTAACTGCTTAAGAAATCCAACTTAACAGAAGATCATTAAATCAGTTAGAAGTATTAAAAAATAATTTTTAAATTATACCATTGTTCACTTAGCTACCTCTATTTTTCTGCATATAATAATAGTTAATTTCATAAGAAATTCTACTTAATAATCTGTGTCTAGTTCTTAAGTAGTCTTTAAGCATTAGGATTAGTTTGCCTGAAATACATTGTATACTAGTAGCTTTTTTTGTGCCTAACAACAACTTATTACATGTTAACCACATTATTGTGTATGGCATAAAAGAAATAAAAAATGAATTTAAATCAAGATATTAGCCACTTCATCTATGACAGTCTCATCTTTAAGCTGATAATCTACTCATTGCAATATGTAAATACTCATTTTATTATTTTAATTACCACTTAACATTGGTCACTACGTAAAAATATGATTAAATAAGTGTTCAGTCATCTAGCCGGATGTGTGGATACAGTCTCAAGATTTCAGATTTCTCATTAACAATGCAATGATTTACCATTTTCTATAAAGTTTGCTTAACTTACCTCAGTATTTGGGCACACTGTTCTAGTGGGTGGCTTTGTTTCTGTCCACACACTTTACATTTCATGTGACTGATATTCCCAAAATGCTCGGTGTAACTATGGACATTCAGCATACTCTCATGTGTCACCTATTTCTGTATAAACAAAGTATCATGCTGAAATAAACTTGTATTTTGTGCAAACTGAATTGCTAAAGATACTCATAACATTGCCTGGTCTAGCAGTGGCAGCATCTTGTAGTCTATTGATTTTGTAGCTTTTTTTCATGGACCTGGTTTATTTTACACATTTTATTATGATTAGCAATAGATTGGGTAGTTGCTGTCTGTTCTGATCTTCAAACTTGTTAGTTAGTTTTTCTTAACAGTGGTTTTTAAACTTGTTTGAAAAACAAAATTATATTTTTCAGTCTCTTTGATTCTTGATAATTTGTCCAAGTCATGGACTTTATTATACTCCTGGAGGCCTGTGAGAGAAGGACTCCACAAAAGTTTAACTTTTATCCCTTTGTCTATAATTTTTGCATGTGTCTGGTATCAAACTTAAGCATATAATATTCATATTTCAGGGAACATAGAGCAAGTCATGAAGTTAGGAAGTTAAAGATGATTAAGCTGTCTGTAATTTCATTTACCATATGCAGGCTGAGTTATGACTGTACTGATACTATTATAACCTTTTTATAAGTACTACTAACAGCATCTGTATCTCATAACACTTTTATAGGTTTTGATTGAAAAGAGCATTTTTGACCAACATAATGGTGTACAAAGCTGCTCGAGCCACATCACTGCAAATACATTATACAGTTGGAGAATGAGATACGTGTATTTTTTGCAATCTTTATTAGGAAATTTCACCAACCAGTGGCTTTTTTCAGTCTATTGCAGAAAAGAATGGTGGAAGATGAGGAGTTTGGGGTAATCAGTCCCTTAGCCTGGAGTAGATGTGTTCAGTCCATCAGTCTTGAGATTGATGGACTGCACACATTTACTCCTGGGCAGGTCGAGACATGGGCGAGTCTCCTTACACCCACTGCCCCTGTTCACCTTCAATAGAAAGGTTTCTGGGTATTAGTTGACAATCATGGGTCACATTCTAGGAATGGTCAAGTACTAGAAACAACTGAGCAATTCGAATGTCTCTCAAATGACCTAATGCTGCACTATCTATGACCATGGAACAAAATTCACAACAAACAAATCAAGAGCTAAAAGGCTAACCCTAAGCCTAACCTAACAGAGTGGGAAGGCACCCTGAGTCTCCCTCAGATAGTAGTCTACAGGTCCTGATTTACCAGGAGGTCTGTTCAAGGACTGAGTCACAGTGGTGTTGACCCCTAGAACACCCTCCAGGTAAGGGACTGATTACCTCAAACTGCTCCTTGTCTTTCACCATTCTTCTCCATAATGGACTGAAGAAGCTACTGGCTGGCAAAAATGTTTCTGTAATAAAGATTCTCATTTGTTAAGCAAGTGTCTCTCATTCTTCAACTTGTTGGTGTTTTAGACCATTTACAACACATTATACAATACACAGTACATCAGTGGTAGTAACAGTGATGAGTACACACATCATGGTAACACTTATAATGATGGCTGCCAGTCTTGATGATACTGATCCTTTGATACAGCTTCTTGATAATGTCACAACTCTTTTCACATCCATTGCAGAAATTCTACAATGACTTTCAAGATGGCTATGAAGCAGTGATAGATGGAGAGGCCTGGGGCCTCATCTTCTTCAATGAATCCTTCACCAAGGGAATCTTGGCCTTCTACCTCGATGACAATAATATACCCTTTGTCAAGCCAGAGGATAAGGAACAGAGCAAGATCAATGTTTATATGGATAACACTAGTAAGTGAAGCTTATAATTTAGGGGTATTTTGCATGCTAGTTTTCAGTACTACTGTGTATGCTCATATATAGGATGCAGTTACATTATAATGGGGGTATTGCACATTGCATATTTAAATTTCAGTTATTGTAAATGTGAAATTCTCAAGAACCCTTACCCCACCATACTGAATATACTTTAGAGTTTGAGCATTTTGTGACAAATGATTTTCTTTGGTAAAATTTTGTAATACAGTACAGCCTCTCCTTACTTAGCTAAGTACTCGTTTACCGACTACTCGGACTTATGATGAGCTCTCTGACCAGTATTCATACCTAAATATTGTATATTAGAGCTGATTTCCTCTGTTCTGTTTATTACAATATACAGTACACTACTATATAAATATTTAAAAATATACAGTAGACTATCGTTTAACACGGTAGTTACATTCTTGAAAATGCCGTGTTAGTCAAAAACCATGTTAGACAAACTGAAGAACTTATGGGAAAAATAGGGTTACATTCCTAGGAGCCCCCCAAAAAGCTAAGCAAGTTTTTTTTAGACCTCCAGATCTTTCAAAATAAAAGTGAATATGTAATTGTAGTGCATTATCATGATATATTACTGCTTAAGACTACAAATGCAATAGAAATAATAGTCTTTCTTTCCTTAAATTCTGGATAATGGTGTTTGTGGATGATTGAGAAGAGAGTGGATATGGTTGGTGTGGCTCTACTGGGCTGAGGTGGATGGTTGTTGGTTGTTGGCAGAAGTGGATGGTAGAGGTTCTGGTACTGAAGTCAGTGGTTGTATTGGAGTGTGCATAAATTCGATAATGGATCTCTGGGCTCTTTTACCCTGTAGTACATTATACAGCTGACGGCAAGGCATCATCAGCTGGTCTAGACCCCACTTCAAAGCACTGCTTCTGGATTTGTTAGGATCCTCTTCAGTGAAAAGTCTGCAACTTTACCAGTAATATGGAACTGCTCATATAACTGCTGCAATGTTAACTGTTTTTCTTCAGGTTCTTCTTCATCTTCTGTTATCTGGCTCCCTTCTATCTGTGCATCGAGCTCTGCCAACATTTCCTCTGGACTCCTGTCTTCATCATCATCTTCTAAGAGCTCATTTACATCTTCTTCATTCATATCTTCCAAACCATCACCTTGTCAGCTGAACAATTTCCTTAACCTGACTCAAGCAAGGAAAAACCAGTAAAAGAATTGATTGGGGCACTTCATTCCATGCATTTCTAGTATAGCTGATGGCATCTGCAATGTTAAATTTATTCCAGAAGCTTGGTGCTACCAGGTTGGAGGCTGGGAGGATGGTGTGGGTGGCGGGGCATGGCGGTGAGTCTCCCCTGTTGACTCAATGGTGTAACTCACAGACCATCCAGCCCAGCAGGCGACTGAGCGCTCAAAATTTTTTCCCCTCCCGCAACCGTCTTAAATTAATTTTACGAAGTGTTAAACAAAAATATGCCACAATTCTTCAATCGTGCTATAACCAAAATGTGCAAGACAAAACAGTGTCAAACGATGGTCTACTGTACCATAAATGTTATAAATGGTGCAAAGGTGACAAAAAAAAAAAAAACAGTATCAAAGATGGTTGATGCAAACCCGCTACCATTACAGTATGCTCCTCACTTAGTGATTCATTTACCAACGTGGTCTTAGGGATGGAACTCTGTCGCTAAGTAAGGAGAGATTGTATTATATATCATAATGTGTGCTAATGTGTTGTCTATAATTATCTTTCCAGACACTGAGATTTCAGCAACTTTGGATTCAGAGCTGTTAAAATCCCTTGACAGATTCATAATAGATCTGATTGAGTTTCCTGAACACTGGCTTAATATCACCATTGATGTCAGTAAATTGTCCATCCCACTGAAGGTAATAGTAACTTGCTTAGACTAATTGGGCATGATTCTACATTTTTTTTTTTTCAACAACTCGGCCATCTCCCACCAAGGCAGGGTGACCCAAAAAGAAGAAATTCCCCAAAAAGAAAATACTTTCATCATCATTCAACACTTTCACCTTACTCACACATAATCACTGTCTTTGCAGAGGTGCCTAGATACAACAGTTTAGAGCATATATAAAGATATATAACATATCCCTCCAATATCCCAAATCCCTCTTAAAGTGCAGGCATTGTACTTCCCATTTCCAGTACTCAAGTCTGGCTATAGAAAACTAACCAGTTTCCCTGAATCCCTTCACTAAATATTACTCTGCTCACACTCCAACAGCTTGTCAGGTCCCAAAAATAATTCGTCTCCATTCATTCCTATCTAAGGTGTTCACACATGCTTGCTGGAAGTCCAAGCCCCTCATCCACAAAACCTCCTTTCCCCCTCCTTCCAACCTTTTCGAGGACGACCCCTACCCCACCTTCCTTCCTCTACAGATTTACATGCTCTCCAAGTCATTCTGCTTTGATCCATTCTCTCTAAATGACCAAACCACCTCAACACCCCCTCTTCAACCCTCTGACTAATATTTTAGTAACTCCACACCTCCTCCTAATTTCCACACTCCGAATTATCTGCATAATATTTACACCACACATTGCCCTTAGAAAGAACATCACTGCCTCCAGCCACCTCCTCGCTACAGCATTTGCAACCCAAGCTTCACACTCGTATAAGAGTGTTGGTACCACTATACTTTCATACATTCCCTTCTTTACCTCCAAGGATATTGTTTTTTGTCTCTACAGATATCTCAATGCACCACTCACCTTTTTTTCTTCATGGTTAACCTCATCCTTCATAAACCCATCCGCTAACGCATCAACTCCCAAATACGTATCTGAAAACATTCACTTCTTCCATACTCCTTCTCTCCAATGTGATATCCAATTTTTCTTTATCTAAATCATTTGATACCTTCATCACCTTACGCTTATCTATGTTCACTTTCAACTTTCTGCCTTTACACACCCTCCCTAACTCGTCCACTAACCTTTGCAACTTTTCTTTAGAATCTCCCATAAGCACAGTATCATCAGCAAAAAGTAATTGTGTCAACTCCCATTTTGTATTTGATTCCCCATAATTTAATCCCACCCCTCTCCCGAACACCCTAGCATTTACTTTTACAACCCCATCTATAAATATATTAAACAACCATGGTGACATTACACATCCCTGTCTAAGACCTACTTTTACCGAGAAGTAGTCTCCCTCTCTTCTACACACCCTAACCTCAGCCTCACTATCCTCATAAAAACTCTTTACAGCATTTAATAACTTACCACCTATTCCATATACTTGCAACATCTGCCACATTGCTCCTCTATCCACTCTATCATATGCCTTTTCTAAATCCATAAATGCAATAAAAACTTCCCTACCTTTATCTAAATGCTGTTCACATATATGCTTCAATGTAAACACTTGATCTACACATCCCCTACCCACTCTGAAACCTCCTTGCTCATCCACAATCCTACATTCTGTCTTACCTCTAATTCTTTCAATTATAACCCTACCGTACACTTTTCCTGTTTTTTTTTTTCTCTCGACAAGTCGGCCGTCTTCCACCAAGGCAGGGTGACCCAAAAAAGAAAGAAAATCCCCAAAAAGAAAATGCTTTCATCATCATTCAACACTTTCACCACACTCACACATTATCACTGTTTTTGCCGAGGTGCTCAGAATACAACAGTTTAGAAGCATATACGTATAAAGATACACAACATATCCCTCCAAACTGCCAATATCCCAAACCCCTCCTTTAAAGTGCAGGCATTGTACTTCCCATTTCCAGGACTCAAGTCCGACTATATGAAAATAACCGGTTTCCCTGAATCCCTTCACTAAATATTACCCTGCTCACACTCCAACAGATCGTCAGGTCCCAAGTATCATTCGTCTCCATTCACTCCTATCTAACACGCTCACGCATGCTTGCTGGAAGTCCAAGCCCCTCGCCCACAAAACCTCCTTTACCCCCTCTCTCCAACCCTTTCGAGGATGACCCCTACCTCTCCTTCCTTCCCCTATAGATTTATATGCTTTCCATGTCATTCTACTTTGATCCATTCTCTCTAAATGACCAAACCACCTCAACAACCCCTCTTCTGCCCTCTGACTAATGCTTTTATTAACTCCACACCTTCTCCTAATTTCCACACTCCGAATTTTCTGCATAATATTTACACCTCTATAATTTTTACAATCTTTTTTGTCCCCTTTCCCTTTATATAAAAGGACTATACATGCTCTCCGCCAATCCCTAGGTACCTTCCCCTCTTTCATACATTTATTAAACAAAAGTACCAACCACTCCAACAATATATCCCCCCCTGCTTTTAACATTTCTGTCATGATCCCATCAGTTCCAGCTGCTTTACCCCCTTTCATTCTATATAATGCCTCATGCACCTCCCCCACACTCACATCCTGCTCTTCTTCACTCCTAAAAGATGTTATAGCCAGTGCATGAAATTACCTCTTCCCTTTCTTCATTGACATTTAAAAGTTCCTTAAAATATTCCCGCCATCTACCCAATACCTCCAGCTCCCCATCTACTAACTCCCCTACTCTGTTTTTAACTACATATTCTACATAAAAAGTATTAGTCAGAGGGCAGAAGAGGGGTTGTTGAGGTGGTTTGGTCATTTAGAGAGAATGGATCAAAGTAGAATGACATGGAAAGCTTATAAATCTATAGGGGAAGGAATGCGGGGTAGGGGTCGTCCTCGAAAGGGTTGGAGAGAGGGGGTAAAGGAGGTTTTGTGGGCAAGGGGCTTGGACTTCCAGCAAGCATGCGTGAGCATGTTAGATAGGAGTGAATGGAGACGAATGGTACTTGGGACCTGACGATCTGTTGGAGTGTGAGCAGGGTAATATTTAGTGAAGGGATTTCAGGGAAACTGGTTATTTTCATATAGTCGGACTTGAGTCCTGGAAATGGGAAGTACAATGCCTGCACTTTAACCCTTTGACTGTCGCAACCCCCAATCCTGAGGTGTCTCCTGGTGTTGCAAAATTTAAAAAAAAAATTTATTTTTTCTTATGAAATGATAGAGAATATTTTCCCGATTGTAACGACACCAAAAAAACGAAATTTGATGGAAAACTGACGGAATTATGCTCTCGCAAAGTTAGCGACCTCGGCGCTGTTTACAAATCGGCGATTTCGCCCACTTTGAGCCCTATTTTCGGCTAATTCCGTTGTTCCAGTCGCCCAAACTCATAGCTATTTCCTTAGAACTCAATTTTTTCTATCGATTGAGTACAAGAAACTGCCCATTTACCGATTTCAACTACCTAATAATGTGGTCAGAAATTTGCATTTTGGCCAATTTCACGAAAACTAAAAAATATGACAATTTCAAAATAAGGTCCAGAATGAACAATGCAGACATTCCTGGCTCTAAAATAACATTTTCTTTGCTCATAAGTCATGTCTCCAGGCCCCTCTGATATTACTCTTGCTTTCTATTTTGAATTTTTATTCAAACAAAAAATAGAAGACTTACTATTATGCAGACTACTGTAATAATTGTATAAATAACATCAACCCATTCATGACTGCATATTAGAATGGCTAGTTGGACATTTATTGGACAATGGCATCATTTGTTTACTTTTGAACATTGGCAAAAATCAATCATTTCCCCTACTTTGAGCTCCATTTCTAGGTTCTTTTAATAGTAAAATCAATCAAAATCACTTCTATTTCTATAATATGTTTTCCATTCTATCAAATGAGACCAAGAAAACGAGAATACAACCATAAATACTATACGAAAATAGACCACAAAGTCGGCATTTTAATTAAAAAAAACGGTTGGAGTTTTTTTTTTCTCATTATGCACTGCGTGCTCCAGGATTTTTTTTATATGGTGCACACTGACCACACAGACCCATTCTCTCACATGTGGGCCTACCAGCTTTCTCCTGCTTGATTTGAAGCCGCTAGAATTTATGAGTATATATACGTCAAACACGGTACCTCGTAAGATGTATATATACTGCTGCGACAGTCAAAGGGTTAAAGGAGGGGTTTGGGATATTGGCAGTTTGGAGGGATATGCTGTGTATCTTTATATGTGTATGCTTCTAAACTGTTGTATTCTGAGCACCTCTGCAAAAACAGTGATAATGTGCGAGTGTGGTGAAAGTGTTGAATGATGATGAAAGTATTTTCTTTTTGGGGATTTTCTTTCTTTTTTTGGGTCACCCTGCCTCGGTGGGAGACGGCCGACTTGTTGAAAAAAAAAAAAAAAAATTCTACATATTACCATGTATTGTTCCAAAAGTCATTATGTAGCCCCTACTGGCACTGCACATACTATACATTCCCACAATTCATTATTTTACAATATTTTTACATTATTGTACAGTATTTACAGAAAAAAAAATGCACACACCACACTGGTTTTTATATTTGAAGACTAAGTTCATACATTTTTTCAATGAACCAGCCATATTCTACCGAGGCAGGGTGATCTAAAAAGAAAAATGAAAGTTTTGCTTTTTAAATTTAGTAATTTATACAGGAGAAGGGATTACTGGCCCTTTGCTTCTGGCATTTTAGTCATCTCTTACAACACACATGGCTTATGGTGGAAAAATTCTTTTGCACTCCACTATGAGGACTGGTCACAAACCGGGCCGCAGAGGTGTTGACCCCCGAAACCCCCTCCAGGTATACTCCAGTTTTTTTTTTTTTTTTTTTTTTTTTTACCCAACAAGTCGGCCATCTCCCACCGAGGCAGGGTATGTTGTTGAGTTAATACATACCTAGACAATACGAGAATATGTTTAGGTTTATATTGATGTCTCTTTTTTCAGAGATGGCCAGTGGGGCTGCTTCGTCTTCTGTCCATGCTGATACCTTTCTTGATATTATAATTCTGTCTTTCCTTTCAACA